CTGTTGTTGAGGTTTTAACTGTATAGGGATTTGAACTGATGATCTAATAGGTCCGAGGCTGATTTGAGAGTAAAGGAAATTAGGCATTCGTGGCCAAATATTTTGTTGAGGTTTTAACCCTGTAGGGTAATTGGATAGTGAGAACTCTAATGACCGTGGTGTAGTTGTAAGAAACTATAGGAATTTGGATGCGTAAATATGATACGGGATTGGCCTAATAAGTCGTAGGTTGTGTGCCTTTATCGCCGTAATACCTTAGGAATGATTTAGGGATGTTTTTAGAGCATCGGGGAAGGAAATCGTAGAGGTTTTTGGTCTGGTGTTGATGCTGGTGCGTAACAGTGATTTGTTGTAATCGTGAGTTCGCACAGCAAAGAATCCTTCACACGTCGAACATTTGCCCCAGATTTGCACATTGAACTTGCAACGAATGTAGCAGAGTTTCGTAAATTCTGATCTTGTGCAGTGATGTCTTGATGTTTTGATGTTGTGATTTCTAAGATGAATTACCATGAGTATGACTGTGATTCCTATGTGATTATTACATGATTGTATGATGATTTCATGAATAATTATGATTATTTATGATGTTGATTTCATGAGTTTTGACGATTATATGATGACATGATTATTATGATGATTTTGATGAATGATGATGCATCTAATGAGATTATTATGAGGATTATATTGACGTGTGCATCATGCATTCATATGCATCTGAACTTCGGTTCAGGACCTTGATTTTTGTGGCTTCAGTCCCATTGTGCGAATGTGAGGTATTCTATTGTGCTCCGGTTCTCGAATAGAATCGATTCTACTGTTGTGGATCTATGAAGGGTTGATGGCCCAGTGCCCATCGAATTATATTGATTGGTACCACATGCATGAGTCTTGTTGCATTTGCATTTATGTGATATTTTGATGTAATTTATAATGTTGCGGCCTTTGATTTTCCTTGATGATTATGATAACGTTGAATATGAAAATGACGTTATTTATATATTGATTCCTATATTGATTATTATCAATTGTTTTACTCACCCTGCCTGTTCAAATGTTGCCTCCACGTGGGTAACTTGCAGATGACCAGGATTAGTCGTGGATGTCGTCGAGGACTTTTGAAGTTTTTGGGTCGTTGGTCATTTTGTTTGACTTAGAGTGTCTTGCTCTGATAGTGTAACATCGAGTTGGGGCCTTTGAGTCAAACTATATTTTATTGAGTTTTTGTTATGTAGATTGCCTTGCGGCGCAAGGAAAACTTTGGATTTGCCTTTTTGAGTTCCGCTGCCATTTAAGCACTTTTGAGTAAATATTTTTGAGTAATTTTGGGAAAACCTGTTGGTTATGGAGCATTGACTATATTTGAATCTTTTAGAAATGTGCGCCCTTTTATGATGATTTTATTGCGTTCAATATTTTACTCTAATAAATACGACTGATTTGCCATTATATTTGTGGGGTAAAAAGGGTGTTACAATAATCATTAGGATTGAAAGCCACTTCCATTAACTTTAATCATCGTTGTCATCATCAAAACCTCATATTAGCCTTCTGTGGGTTTTTCATCTTTATACATGTAAGCATATAGATCCACAAACCTCAACCTCTAAAGCCAAGAGCTCGACCTTGATAGTGATGAAAAAAGCCAAATCCACCTAAATTCCTACCAGAGAAACTATTGGGAACAACTTGAGTTATATTGTCTATTGCACATGGAGTAGTAAGCTCTTGACGATACTTATTCAATTGAGTTTCTTGAACAAACATAAATGCTTACACTTATTAGATTTATGTAGGTTCCACATTGCCATAAATCATAATGATGAAGGGGTTATATTCTTCAGGTAGACCTTAAATCACATCAACTTGATCTCAATCAAAGATTGGATCACCAATGGTGAGTAACAAATCTATAATAGCTCTTATTCGAACCACGTCATTTGAGATAGATTTGCTACCTTTCTTGATTGTCTTTAGTTTTGATCTCAATTGATGAACTCTTGCCTTCATCTGAGAGTGAAAATGCTTATGTACTTTATCTCACACCTCGTATGCATGCTTACACGAAAGAACTTTTCATAAGATAAATTGAGATAGTGTAGATAGCAAGCAGGTGAATAAAGTTTCGTTTTGGACAATCCAAAATTCATATTCTTTAGAGATGATATTGGCCAACATGTCACTATCGGTTTTGAACATGGAAGGAATTTATGGATTCACTACAATCTTGTGTGACAAAATTACACCTTCAATATGTTCATTCCACAAGAGCAAGTTATCATCTTGGACTTTTATGGAGAGCTTCGGTGCAAACATGTTATCCGAGCTTGAATGCACCACTGTATATGCGATTGCTTGCAAATATTTAACATTTGTTGTGTGTCTTGCAATGTGCTTTCTCGATCCGCCATTGAAACTTTTTTTGAAGCTTGATTCTAAAAATGATTCTACTAAGGAGGCAAATGAAGTGCACATCCGCCAAAGATGCATAAATTTAGTGCAAGATTAAAGATAGAGATGAAGAATTGCGAGCGAAAGAATGTCCCTTTTTAGGCGATCGATCCCATGTTAGAATAAACTTTGATTTATTGAAAGAGTTTGCCCAACATCTTCTTGTATTATTGATGATGGTTCATTAGTTGATACAATGAAATAAATTTGTTATATATTATAGTCATGCAAGCTTTGATAGTTAGTTACACCATGCCAAAATTAGTTAGTTATTCTAACTAACTCTCTTAACAAGCTAACTTATTTCACTATTCTAATTACATCAAAAGCTTGTAAGCATATAACTCCAATAATCACATATCATATTGTTTGCAAAAGTCCTCGTTTTCTGTTTTAATTTTGGTAATTGTTTCGTACTTAATTCCTTATTAATTTTTGTTGTAGATGTCATGAAAGGAACTTTCCTAATTCCTATATTAAAATCCAAAAATAAAAGAAATAAAATCTATTCCTGTATCTCCCTCTAATTACATAATTAATTTTAAAAAAATAAACTGTTGCTTTCATTGATTGTGACTTAAACTTTTGTTGTTGTTAATATGCAAATAAATATACGTCCACTAAATGCTTTATCTGGACCCAAAATTCCTGTTCACTTACACGGGTATATTTTCTTTTATCTACGAAAAATCAAAACAAATCTTCAACCTCAAAAGGTTTCATTCTCTAATCACTGAGTATTATTTAATTTTAATCACAGTTTCAAATAAACGAAGGCATTGATTTTGTTTATGGAAGGAATGGACATTGTTCAATCGAGTTAATGCTCAACATTATCTTAACAAAACATGAATGATAAGTACTTATCAAGATAATTCTAAATATTGCAATGTGTTGTATAGAAAGCAAAGATTTAGTTATGTTTGAAGGGAAATGGTAATTAATGCCCTATAAACACTCTTGATAGGGTTAGAAATATATGCTATTTCCATTATAAAAAAAGGTAAGTTTTTCTATTTGAGTTTTGGTGTTTTTTTTTTTTTTTTTTTTAAGTTTTTACATTACAGATTTTTACAAAAAAACGTGTTCAGGCGGAAGATCTTCGTTTAATTAGATAATATCTCATGTCTTTTTTATAAGAGTTGATTTGAACCAGTGTATCATCTGAAATCTAACTTAAAATATTTGGTATAAGATATTTTGATAATTAAAGATTCACTTGAGTTTTTTTAAAGAGCTGAGTTTTTTTTTTAATTAAATTTTTTTCTTTAAATGGTGGGATAAATTTGAAAAAGTTTTAGTGTAGAATATCTGATTGGGGTGTAATGATAAGTTGTTTTTTGAATCACCTATAAATGCTAAAGAAGTGAAGTATAATAGGTGGATATGGCGTTCAGAACTCTAGTCAATTGTGTGAAAGATTGTGGATGTGGTTTGTGTGTTTTATGTTGTTGTTTTTCTTTTTTCTTATTTTTTTTCTTGGCACTTCCTACGCCATTTGACTCTTTATTTGCAAACTTAAAAATATAAAATGTCTAACCAGTGGTGTTAGCAACCATTTTAAATCTGTTTTAAAACAAAAAATTATTTAATTTTAAGACAAAGTTATTTGTGATTCGATCTATTTTAAATGATTAATTAAATATTTTCAATTTAATTTGGTTAAATTATTTATTATTTAATTTGGATAACTTTTTAATATTTAAATTATAAATTATAATTTTTATATTAAGATAAATTTTATAAAAAATATAATAAAATATTAATTTTAATATAAAAATATAATAAAAAATAAATTAAAACTTAATACTACGTAATACCAAAGATATATCATGTATGAAACAAAAAAATTAAAGTTAAACTAATAATTAATATTAAACAAACTAAATATCATTGAATAATAGATTAAAGTTATATATTTAATACCAATAAAATATTAAAAAAAACTAAAATATATAACCGAACATAACACTTTTTATGAAATACCATTTAAATATATTTAATAATATTTAATTTTATGCAGTTTTTTAGTTTGTGAATTAGCTTACACTTAAATTTTATTAGAATACCCCTAAGACACAAGTTTAAATTATCATTGAGTTTAACATAATTACAGTGAATTAATAATTAATATAAAAAAAAAAACAAAAAAAAAACCCAAGGTATTAATATCTCATAGAGTTGGTATAAATAATGAACCTAATAATTTATTTCATATTATTATTAAGGCAAATAATGAGGCACCAAAGAAACTACTCAATAAACTTTCTGGTTGATCATTATGTGTGGCTTATTTACGTTAGACCAGTCAAATGTACTGCCTCTATTTTGCATTGCATGGAAAAAAACAAGTTACTGATTTACTACTAAAATAGTATTTCATCTTTTTATTATACTCCCATTATGTGCCCTTCCATATTCTATATATACACCAAATACCTTTTTGTCACACACCAAACTTTCCCATTTCAGTATCCTCACTCATCACACCACTACTACTACTGTCTCTCTTTCTTCATAACTACTTTACACCATTTTTTCAATCTCTAATGGCAGCTTTTTCATATCAATACAATCCTTTCCTTGTTGATCACTCACACTCACCATTCATGTTCAACATAAACACTACTTCTCCTCCTCTTCCTCTTCCTTCACAGTTTCATCCTCTTCATCAAGATATTATTAACTGCGTTGATCATCAAAGCTCCAAAGTTAACACCGTCACTGAAAATGAACCTTCTTCTCTCACCAAAAATATTAGTCCTCAGTCCTCCATGGTATTGGACAAGCTCGAAACCGGCGACGAGCAGGTTACTCAGAAACTTAACCCTACGGAGAAAAAGAGGAGAACTAGAAACAATGGACCTTTCTCAACTAAACCCAAATCTCGAGTAATAATATATTATTTATTCCTATTTTAACCTCCGTCATTTCACTACTAGAAAAAATAACCTCCGTCATTTTACAGGAAATTGCAGCAGAAGGTAGAAACAAAAAACAGAAGAAAAACAAAGAAGATGAGAGAAAGTGTTTGGATGAGCCTCCAACTGGTTACATCCACGTCAGGGCAAGAAGAGGTCAGGCCACTGATAGCCACAGCCTTGCTGAAAGGGTACCCCACTTGAATAATACTTTTAGAATTCCAAAAATGTCCCTCTATTTATCTTCATGTCTCATTCTAAATATTGTAAAAATTAAATGTGATTGGATTAATTCAGGTTAGAAGAGAGAAAATAAGTGAAAGGATGAAGAAGTTGCAACAACTCGTGCCAGGCTGTGATAAGGTAGGTCAAGTAAAACCTTCACGACAGCACATATAGGGCCATATAATTAAAACTATATAATTATTCATTGACATTTTTCTCCTTTATTTTTCTAACCAGGTCACTGGAAAAGCCCTTATGTTAGATGAAATAATCAACTATGTTCAGTCTTTACAGAATCAAGTAGAGGTAATTAACACTAATAACCTCAAACTAATCTATTATATAGAATTTATATAACACAGTTGTTGATGCTTCTTCTTTTTTCCGCAGTTTTTATCAATGAAACTTACTTCTGTGAATCCTATGTTCTATGACATGGCAACAGATCTTGACACTTTCATGGTTAGACCAGAGGTGAGGAATCAAGCTAATTAATTTACATTTAGTATTATAATGTATAATAATTAATAACGAAAGTAACTAACTTTGTTATATTTTGAATTATAACAGAAATTAAATAACTTAGCATCGCCATCACCACCACTATCATCATCAGTGTCACGTTGCAACAGTCCCAAACAAGGCACAGTTTTTGCTGATACAACCACCGTGACTCCAACCAACATTTTCCAAACTACTAATGATTACAACCACCTTTTAGATACTTCAGCTTCAATTTTTCTTCAAGGACAGAGATCAAATGTTGTGTCTGAGGTAAAGAAAAACATAAACGAACAAAAATGGTCTTAAAAAATTGCTTTTGATTCTTATTTTTTCTGACAAAAAACTTCATTTTCAGGATGGTAGCCATTTTTGGGAGGTAGAAGAGCAACGACAAAAGTTTCTTAATTCACATGGATTCAACAACAACTTATGTTCATTTTCATTAATTTAAAATTCATAGAGGTGCATGTCATCATGTCCTACAATTCCACCAACATGTTTGTAAGCTCTCAAATCATGTCTTTTATCTTATTATTACTAATTTACTATATAATTTAATTTAATAATGCTTGGTTTCTGAATAAGACTATAAAATTTTTTTTGCAGGATTTAGCATTTACATTAGGTAAGGAAATTCCAGAAAGAATATGAATATGTGTATATTAAAGGGTATGAAAATGAATGGATGAAGAACAAGAAAATGACAGAAAATGCAGCAGACCAAATAAAAGACCATATCTTTTTTAGATCTGTGTTCTGTTCCAGTTATTTTTGACTCTTATGTTACACAAATTCCTAGAGACTAGTATTGATCCTACGTAGACATCACAGACAGTGAAATTAATTTGTGTCATTGTATATTATTGAACTAGTGATTGATTCTTGTGGTGGCAGTTATTCTGTTGGTACAGTTAATAAATTTTTTATCATTATTGAGAAATGAGAGGTTGAATACATTATTGGCCATGCAATTGTGTTGGTCTATGCCTAGCTAGATTTATGTATATGTCTCCGTAGATTCTTCAAATTTTGGAATTTTATACTATATGGTTACTATTGTGTTATTTATATGAATAATAACAATAATTATTATTATTTTTAATACTTCCTTTCAGTGATGGAATTGTGTTTGTTTATATTGGAAAATTACCAGCATATGTAGGCCTTTGAAATATACAAGTCAATTTAGTGTTTATTTTGGAAATAAAAAACTATGTCAATTCACTTTCACTAAAATGATAAATACAAAATATAGAAATTGACATGACAGTTTTTGTTTCAACAGACAAGGATGTTGTTGTGTCCTTTTATAGATCTTGCTTGGCTACATTCAAAATTTTCTACATTCACACATTAAGAATTGTTTTTTATATCGGTAGAATAATCGAGATGAAAAATTGTTTTTCACTTTAAAAATGCATAGTAATCGAACGAGCTTTTCACCTCGGTCACTTGTCTCACCAATATGACATTCTTACCATAAGATACTACCTTACCTCGAAAAGTAATATAATGTTAAATACTTATTTCACCCGAAGAAAAATGTCTTTTAAGTAATAGTGATTGTTTTATATTAATCTAACGACTATCAACATTCTAAATGTTTTTGTCGAAATAAGGAGAAACCCTTCTATTTCTTGAGAGTGCATGTGCTAAGAAGACACAACAATTCCTTCCAAACTGTGTAGAAAATCTTCCATGTTATGAAAAAAATCCAATTCTTTATTTGCTACATAGAATTTCAAGTTTTGAAAAAATGAAATGTTCATTGAATTATAATAGGTTTGGGGGATGCTTGTGTGAACAAAGACAAGTTTGTTTGGTTACTTAGAATTGAATTGGGTGTGACATCAACAAGTGTCTATCCATTTCAACAGATTAAGAATAATATTATCAATGCTGAAAGCAAATATAAAATATGACAATGACTATATCAGCTTCCTTTTTCTTTTTTCAGCTATATGGGTCCTACTTTTTTAAAACAATACTTGCCACTCATTCTAGCTATCTACCTCTTCAATTCTCTTGGTTTCTCTATTTATGATGATAAGTAAATATGTTTTACACAAGAGGATAAGGACTACGGTTTATGAGTATTATACACCGTATTATTTTATATTTGATTTGTAATATATTTTTAAGAATTTTACGTTGGACAATTTATAGGCTGAATATGTGTTTATAAGTGGGAACAATTTTCACTTTATTAGTTGGTTTTGTAGAGTTGAATTAGATTCAACCACATATTTTAGAGAACGCTAAAAATGTTAATGGACTAAATATTCATGATTCAAGAAACTTTGACACCACATGTTTAAGAAAAAAAAATTTCTTTTTACAGGCAAGAACAGTATATTCACAAAAAACTTTAAAGCAATAGAGATATTTCACATATCAGGAAGAGCTAATGGGCCAAACGTTTAGGATTTAAGAGACCTTGACGTCACATATTCACGCAAAACTAATCATCCACATCAATAGTTTTGATTCATACTAAGATCTACTTCTCCTCTTCCACTGAGTCAACTAAAGTTTTGATAAGCGTGTCTGGAGAGCGAGGCTTGGAAGTGTTATTGGGTCAAAAGTTGAAAATCTAAGAGAGATTTACACCATATATTTCCTCAAAATTTTAAAGCAATAGAGGTATGGGTCACCTTTTTAATAAACTCAACATTTCTTTTATTACTAATCTAAGTAGAATTTTAACACTTTCACACTTGAAATCCAACGTTATTGTTTGCTAAATGTGTTTTTACTTTTATAATTTTATAATTAGTTGTTATTATAACAACATATGATATGGTATATATGATACCAAAAAAAGAAAAAAAAACTATATTGTAAGAAGGACTTTGGATCCTCTCTTTTTTATTTATTTCTTTCTTTACTCTCTATATCTCTCTTAATATTTCTTTCTCTCTCTTAAATAAAAATAACTTTATAATATAAAGAAAGTGAGATTAAGAGAGATAGAAAAAAAAAATGAAAATAAAATAGAAGAAAATGATCCAAATTCCATATGAAGAGAGATATATAAAGTATGATTTTATATTAAAATTATGGATTTTTAATTACAAATTAAGTCAAAATATTGTTAATATAGTAGTTTTAGCAACCACATTGGATTGCAAGCACAATAAAATTTAAAATCATACATCTGATTGTAAAAACTGTATCAAACAATTTCTCTTACATTTATTGAGTTATTTTTATAAAAATTTAAAATTTCAAAACTTCAAATTTCAAATTTTTTTATGTAATAAAAAAAATCCTAACATCAACTTTCTCTCAAATATTCAAACACTTCTTATCAATATTCACTACAACGGCCGCAATACGCTTCACATTAACTGTAATAACCGCGTCACGTCAAACCGCACAATTTAACAATATGATATAGACAGTCCATGTGGAGTTGGTGCTCCTCCTGTTTTTGTGTGTCGACCCTTATGTTGCATTGTCTTCTTCAATCATATACCACCACCATTTTTCTATGGGTCCTTTCCCTAGTAACCTATAGAGATACTACTATATCATCAACTTGGTTCTTATGGGTCTAGTACTACTGGTTTTTGGTATTAGAAAAAAACAATAAAAACATATCTCAATGTTTTTTCAACCATGTCTAATCATATTCCCTTTAGCTAAGTCTTCTCTAGAACCTACTACTACCTGTTCATCCTTGTGACTTTGCAAAATATCTAAGCAAAGTTATGTGATTAGTTCAATGTTATTATTTTCATATATTGACCCATGCCATCAATCAATGTTGGAATTGGACATTAGAAAACAGCAAATTGTTCTTAAGGCCAATAATTCATGTATATTTTTTATATTTAAATATGTGAGAAAAAACTTCACACATTGAATTAATGAAAATTGAAAAACTAAAGGAGATTGAAAAGACAAGGTGGTGCCAATTGTTTAGCAATATATAGAGTTGTTAGTACCAAAAGAAGTAAATGGTGTGCATATTTGTTGCTGAACAACACATCCATCTGCAATTTAGGGGTCCCCATTGTTTTTTATATTTTGCTCAAACAAGGTAGGGTCATCTTTCCTCAACTGACATGTAAGGCAGTACTGGTGTTGTCTCTGTGGTTCATATATACAAAATTTATTTAATTGGACAAATGAGAGAGGTGATGTTTAATCAAGTTAAGAGGAGATCACATAACCTATAGTTTGGTATTAAAATGACCATATGATAGGTTTTGCTATATAGGATAAAGTAAAATTATTTTATTATTGAATTAAGATTGTCTAAAAATTTAAAATATTGTGTTTTTTATAGGAACATTCTGAAGTAGCTATTAGTAAAATTTAAAATTGTGGTTAATGGTGTTGGGTGGATGGTTAATGAGTTAACACACTTTATTGAATTCATTAACAATTTATTGAACATATTTATCCAAATATTTAAAATGTGTTAAGTTTTTGAATGCAATTGCTAGTTTAATCCATTGTTGTTATGTTATCTATATGATATCTATAGTAAATAATATTTATTGATTGATCGTTAATAAATTAATTTATGATTTATTTTGTGAAACGGGAGTAGAATTAGTAAACATATAAAATTAGGTATACTACCTTGCCACCACCTAGGAATATGGGTGGATACTTTAAACTCATATTTATATTAAATCTAAATGTTGTACCTTAAATTGTAGCTTCTAATGGATTGAGAAGTTAATTTAAGTTGTTAAAGGATTAATGACTTAGAGATTAAAATTAAATAATCATTAAGAATGAATAATCACATATAAAAATAACTTTAATTAACAAGGTTCAGAAGGAGTACAAGGGAAAACTTAAGTCAGACTCATCCCTGACATATTAATAATTTTATAAATCCTAGTTTTTAGCATTAAATCTCTCAGAGTTAACTAAAAAAACCTTTTTGTTCAATTTGTTGAATGATAAATTCAATATCAATTTTAGTCTTCATGGTTGATACATAGTGGTACTCTCCACCAAATTACTTGTAATTTTCTGTTACACATTTTAAATTTTCATGAGCTATGCATCCTCAATCGAGGGAGGAGAATGAGGAAAGATGCTTGAAAAAGCTAGACCTTCTATAAAAATGTTGTGACTGTGAGATAATGAGAAAAATCATAATCAAATAGGAAATGACGTCAAGTACAATTGAAATTTGTTCCTGTGAGAGTTTGATTTTAGATAGCTCCTTGAACACATTGTTAAATATAATTCAACATTCAAGTTAATTTAGATTTAAGTTTTATTTGTATCTAAGTTTACATTTGTATTTGAATTTGAATTTATATTTAATGTGCATTTGAGTTTGGATGAATCTATATAAGCTCAAATGAAAGTGAATTTGTAATAGATTTTCAAACAGGAAAAAATTAGTTAGAATCTCTCTCTCTCTCTCCCTCTCTCTCTCATCATATTCATTCTTATGCATTGTTAATGGAGGTTCATTGT